CTGAGCTTCTGGGATTTCTTGGAAGACTGTTCCCTTTGCCAGATTGGGGAAGTTCTCCTTTATTATTTGTTCAAATACGTGCTCCATCTGTTGCTTTTCCCCTTCCCCTTCTGGTACCCCTATAATTCGGATGTTGGAATGTTTAAAGGTGTCCTGGATGCTCTTAAGCTTCTCCTCGATTTTTTGAATTCTTATTTCATCATGCTTTCCTGCTTGGTTGATTCTATCTTCCTTGTGGTCCACTGTATTGTTTTGAGACTCAGATTCCTTCCTTTCACTATTGGCTCTCCTCCGCGTATCTTCCTGCATCTCTTTTATGGTAACCTGCATCCTTTCATCTAAATTGCACCCAAAATCAACCAATTCCATGAGCTTTCTGATCACCAGTGTTTTGAACTGTGCATCTGATAGATTGGCTATTTCTTGGTCACTCAAAAGGATGAGTCCTGGGGGACTGATCTGTTCTGTTGGAAACATGTCTCTCCCTGTCTCCCCTTTTTCTTTCTTTTTTTTTCCCGGTCTGGTTGCTCTTGTTATGGTGGGGGGCAGAGCCTTAGGTGTTCACCGGGGCTGGGCACCCTGGTCGCTAGATTGTGACGTTATATGTGGGGGCGGGGGCGGGAGCGGGGATGGGAGGGAACAATGGTGGTATTTCCGTTCTCCTGGGATCTCAGTTCCTTCCCTCGGATCCTGGGCTGCAAGCTCTGCCCTGGTCCACAATCACTGCCCCACAGGGTCCGCCAGCCGCAGCTTGCATATTCAGGGACCACTGCTGCATTCTTGTGCGCCGGATGGCTGTCGCGCTGATTACACGCCAAGTTTTCCCCGACCTCCGTGCGCTGCCGACCCGCGCCGGCCCGGCTCGTCTTCTCCTACCAGTCTGGATGTACGGGTCTACTTCAACTTCTTGGCTGTCCAACTTCCATTCAGATAAATCCTCTATCAGTTCTGGGTGTTATTCTATCTGTAAATTATTGTTGTTCTAATCTTGGTTGTGCGAGGAGGTACGGTGCATCCACCTATTCCTCCATCTTGCCGGAAGTCCCCAATTTGCTAGTATTTTATTGAGGACTTTAGCATCTATGTTCATCATGGATATTGGCCTATACTTTTCTTTCTTCATAGTATCTTTATCTGGTTTTGGAGTTAGGATAATACTGGCTATGTAAAATGAGCTTGGGGGTCTTCCTTCCTCTTGAATTGTTTGGAATAGTTTGAGAAGGATAGGTGTTAGTTCTTTGAATGTTTGATAAAATACAACTCTGCGAAGCCATCTGGTCCAGGATTTTTGTTTGTTTGGGAGTTTTTTGACTACTGCTTCAATTTCAGTAGTTGTAATTTGCCTGTTGAGATTCTCTGATTCTTCCTGATTCAGCTCTGGAAGGTTTTATGTTTTTAGTAACTTATTCAGTTTGTCCAGATTGTCCAATTTGTTGGCATATGGTTGTTTATCATATTTTCTTACAATCCTTTTTTTTGTGTGTCAGTTGTTACTTCTCTTTCACTTCTGATTTTATTTGAGTCCTACTTTTTTCTTGATGAGTCTAATTAAAGGTTTGTCAATCTTGTTTATCTTTTCAAAGAACCAGCTCTTGATTTCATTGGTCTTTTATATATTTTTTTAAGATTCTATTTTATTTATTTATTCTCTGATCTTTACTATTTCTTACCTTCTACTCACTTTGGGCTGTGTTTGTTGTTGTTTTTCTAGTCCCTTTAAGTGTAAATTTAGGTTGTTTATTTGTTTTTTTCTTGTCTGTTGAGATAGATGTATAATGCTATGAATTTCCCTCTTAGGACTGCTTTAACTGTGTCCCATAGATTTTGGGTTATGTTCTCATTATCATTTGTTTCAAGGAATCTTTTTATTTTTTTCTTGATCTCAGTATTAACCCAGTCATTGTTTAGTAACATGGTATCTAGCCCATGTCTTTGTGTGTTGTTCAGTTCTTTTTTTGTGATTGATTTCTAGTTTTACACCATTATGGTCAGAGAAAGTGCTTGATATGATTTCAGTCTTCTTAAATTTATTGAGACTTGTTTTGTGTCCTAACATGGTCTATCCTAGAAAATGTTCCATGTGCACTTGAAAAGAATGTATATTCTGCTGCTTTGGGATGAAATACTCTGAAGATATCAATTAAATCCATGTAATCTAGTGTGTCATTTAAGGCTACCATGTCTTTGTTGGTTTTCTGTCTAGAACATCAATCTATTGATGTCAATGGGGTGTTAAAATCCCTACTCTGACTGAAACAAGTACAGTTGGATGGAAGCAGAAAATGAGTTTCTGGTCACCAATTTTCTAGCAATTAAAAGAATGAACAAATATTAAAAAGAATGACCTCATCAGCATCAATCAATATTTATAGATCATAGCAAAGGGAGCCTTTTTTGCCCATCTTGGCCAGTCATGACAGTCATGGAAAGAGCCACCATGTTTCAAGAAACCCCTGTAAACTGTGCAGTATGGTTTCCTTAGGCGTCCACCACAAGGATGGATGCTCCTGGGCTGTTTGCAGAGCCTTCTTGCCCATGGAAGCAGCCTGGGCTGTTTCCCCCCTGCAGTGCAATATACAGTGTGGGAGGAAGAACTTGTTTTTTTATTCATACTGTAGCTCTTCAAGGGTTACAGGCTTCCTACAGGCATCTCAGTTCTGACTCTGCCCCACATGGGGCCATGGTCTCACATATCCAGTGCAGGGTTAAATCTCAGAACTCAGGCTTTTAGGTCCAAAACTTTCTCTAGGGAAGCCATCACCTTATGCAAAATCTGCTTTAGTTTTAGGGTGGGTTTTTTTTTTGTTTTGTTTTTGGTCTTTGAAGAGTCCCTGCTCCTTTAACAAATTCAACTATATATTACAAAGGATGTTTGTTTAATTTAATCCAACATTTTTAGATATTTTGGAGTGGGAAGTTCTTTAGTTTTTCAAAATTGTGGCTTTTTTTCTATTTTAAGTGCATTAAAGGAAAGTTTTAAATGAGAGCCAAATATCATAAAGAAAAAAAAACAGAGCATTTTAAGATAAGAAAGAAGTGTTTTTATGAAAAAGTTGAGCTAATAGTCACTATTTGATTTATGAAGTAATAAATACATCAAAATAATGGTTTATAAAGACTTTTCTGGAGACTTCCGGCAAGATGGAGGAATAGGTGGACGCACCATACCTCCTCGCACAACCAAGATTAGAACAACAATAATTTACAGATAGAATATCACTCAGAACTGACAGGATTTATCTCAATGGCAGTTGGACAGCCAAGAAGTTGAAGTAGACCCGTACATCCAGACTGGGAGGAGAAGATGAGCCAGGCGGGTGCGGGGCTGGCGCGGGTCGGCGGAGGTCAGGGAAAATTTGGCGCGAAATCGGTGGGACAGCCATCCAGGGCGCAAGAATGCAGCGGTGATCCCTGAGTACACAAGCTGCGGCTGGCGGACCCTGTGGGGCAGTGATTGTGGACCAGGGCAGAGCTTGCAGCCCAGGATCCCAAGGAAGGGCCTGAGCCCAGGAGAACGGAACTACTGCCATTGTCCCCGCCCACTCCCGCCCCCGCCCCCACATATAACGTCACAATCTAGCGACCAGGGTGCCCAGCCCCGGTGAACACCTAAGGCTCTGCCCCCCACCATAACAAGAGCAACCAGACCGGGAAAAAAAAAGAAAGAAAAAGGGGAGACAGGGAGAGACATGTTTCCAACAGAACAGATCAGTCCCCCAGGACTCATCCTTTTGAGTGACCAAGAAATAGCCAATCTATCAGATGCACAGTTCAAAACACTGGTGATCAGAAAGCTCACGGAATTGGTTGATTTTGGGTGCAATTTAGATGAAAGGATGCAGGTTACCATAAAAGAGATGCAGGAAGATACGCGGAGGAGAGCCAATAGTGAAAGGAAGGAATCTGAGTCTCAAAACAATACAGTGGACCACAAGGAAGATAGAATCAACCAAGCAGGAAAGCATGATGAAATAAGAATTCAAAAAATCGAGGAGAAGCTTAAGAGCATCCAGGACACCTTTAAACATTCCAACATCCGAATTATAGGGGTACCAGAAGGGGAAGGGGAAAAGCAACAGATGGAGCACGTATTTGAACAAATAATAAAGGAGAACTTCCCCAATCTGGCAAAGGGAACAGTCTTCCAAGAAATCCCAGAAGCTCAGAGAGCCCCCAAAGAAGTTGGACCCAAGAAGAAACACACCAAGGCACATCATAATTACATTAGCCAAGGTAAAAATGAAGGAGAGAATCCTAGAAGCAGCAAGAGATAAGGGGACAGTAACCTACAAAGGAGTTCCCATCAGACTGTCAGCTGATTTCTCCAAAGAGACCTTACAGGCAAGAAGAGGCTGGAAAGAAATATTCCAAGTCATGAAAGACAAGGACCTACATCCCAGATTGCTCTATCCAGCAAAGCTCTCATTTAGAATGGAAAGGCAGATAAAGTGCTTTTCAGATAAGGTCAAATTAAAGGAGTTCATCATCACCAAGCCCTTATTTTATGAAATGCTAAAGAGACTTATCTAAGAAAAGAAGATAAAGAAAAGACATGTATAGTGAAAGGACAGCAAACTCACAATTATTAACAACCACACCTAAAGCAAAACCAAAAGAAACTAAGTAAACAACTAGAACAGGAACAGAAACACAGAAATGGAGGGCACATGGAGGGCTAGCAGCAGGGCGGTGGGAGGAGAAGAGAGGGAGAAAAGGTATAGAGAATAAGTAGCATAGAATGTAGGTTGAAAATAGATAGGGGGAGGGCAAGAATAGTACGGGAAATGTAGAAGCTAAAGAACTCATAAGTATGACACATGGACATGAACTAAAGTGGGGGAATGTGGGTGGGAGAGGGGGTACAGGGTGGAGGGGAGAGAAGGGGGGAAATGGGACAACTGTAATAGCATAATCAATAAAATACATTAAAAAAAAGACTTTTCTGGTATGTGCCTATCCAAATTTTATTAACAGAATTATGTTTTTTTTTTTTCATTAAGGAAGTTCCATTCTTCCTCAAACAGCCGACCTGCGAGCGTGTCTCCAGACTCGCGGCTTGCCCAGGTCATGGAGCAGCATGAGCACGCCTTGCTGCAGCTGACTGAGGTGCAGCCGCACGAAGTGACCTTGGCCAGTGTCACCTTCCCACCTATATTGTCAAGAATAGAAAGTGAATCCCAACTCAACTCAGAGAAAAGCCAAAGACACCAAATGAAAATTAGTCGTAGCAATTCTGAAGGCTATCTGTTTCAACTGGAAAAAGGGAAAAAGCATAGAAAAAGGAGCGTTAAGGTAATAAAAGCCTTTTACCAAGTAATCTTTTAGTTTTGATAATATAGATGGACCTTGATTTTCATTCCCATCATTAGAGCCCTGCAATCAGGATGGTCACTACTGAGCTGCTGCCACATCATCAGGGTGGTCCACGTCCTGAGGAAGTCCTTTACTGAGCCCTTGCTACTGCCTGGAATTTTCCTCCTCTTTTCTTGAAAGTGGTTTCTATCAGGGATGCCTGGGCCCACTTCCTTTGTGCTTCATGTCAGGGAAGGGTCTACATTTGCAGAGGCAACAGTCCCCCTTTGGCACAAGCTTAAATGTCACATGTCCAGAAAAGCTCCCCCCACCCTCCTCAGCCCCAGTCCACGCTGAGTCTCCAGGTATCGTCTCAGAGCCAAGAATAAGAGGAAGTTGGGCTGGGGCAATGAAAGCTCCAGCTGCTGAGTATTTCCCTCCCACCCACATGGCCTCCTACCCGAGAATGCCTCCTGGCCCTAATCTCACAGCTCCTGCAGGCAAGTACACAGGGCAGCCAAGGACTGGGCTCTCTTCTGAAATGCTTGCCAATCTTAACCGAGTTCTTTGTTCCCAGTAAGATTCACTGTGACTTACACCTTTGTGCACTTAAACCTTTCTGATCAGGGCTACATTGTTAAATAAGGGACATTACAGGGAAGGGTGGCAAAGGGAAAAGTTTCCAGGGAGAAACAAAGGGGCACTGAAGGAGCCTTTGTATTTCTCTGCCCTTACGGGTAGTAAAATCCCCTCTGGGAAGATCCCTTGCTTCTAGTGTCACATAGTCAGGAAAAGGCTGGAAACAGCACTCCGTGTCACAGGGCAACATGGGCAGAGCTGGCTGGAAGCAGCAGGCCTGTGGTGTGTTGGGTCCCTGGGGAGAGACCCTGAAACAGAGATGTGCATGCAGGGGGTGGGGATTGCCAGCTGCTTCCCATGGGTGAGGACAGAGGCCTACAGGGCTGTAGAGGGAGTGGGCGCACTGTGTTGTTGCAGGTGCCACATGTGCCTCAGTCAAAGCTACACGGGTTCTGAAGTTGGGACGGCCCCTGAAGGCGAGGGACCCAGATTTCCTGACCCTACACGGGCCAGCCCTTGGCTACAGATGCCCCTGGGGAAGGGCTCTACCTTTGGGCACAGCAGCTCCCATTTGGCCGAGTGCCGTTCTTAGGGAGAAACTCAGCTGTGACCCATGGCAGACAACAGACTCAGCAACCTGGGGGCGTGGGGCTCGTCCAGAGGGGCCTGCACTACACACAGTTTTAGGAAATCCCCCCCCTCTTACTTCAGTTTGACACATACTTGTTGAACTCTGGCTAGAGATTGTGTTGGGATGTGAAGAGAAGGAGCCATGACCGTCCCCAGCAGAAGTTTACAGGTGATGTGGAACCAGGGAGACACATGTGTGAACGGCCTCAGTATAATGGTGCAATTCAGAGAGGGAGCGGAGGGAGCAAACAGAGCAGTGGTGAGTGTGGAGAAGGACACAGCCCTGCCTGGGGGTTGAGCAGAGGTTCAGGACATGACTGTGAGCTGCGTCGGAGAGGACGATGCACAGGTTACAAAAGCAGAAAGACTGCTCAGCAGGTGGAAGCTGGGGACAGCATGGGCACCCGGGAACAGGCAGCGCTCCAGCGCTGCTGTCCCTGCAGTGGGGCCCAGAGTGCTGAGGGGTGTTCAGAGGTGGGCAGGGGTTTTGGCAGACCTTGTTTCTCATGTGAAGACGGGTACTTTATTCTGTGGGTCTGGGGAGGGACACATGAGAGCATTGACTATGGTGAGGTTGGTGCGTGGGCAGACACCAAGCATTCCAGAAAGTTAGGGGATCACAGAGTCAGTGGGCCCTTGCGTGGGACCCCCAAAGGAAGAGAGAAAAGGGCGGCTTTGAAGGGAAGGGGAAGCTGGCCTGGAAGAGAGGTGGGTGCTATTGAAGAGAAAAGGAGGGCAGGCCTGGGCTGAGATGTGACTGCTGCCGGAGGCCTCTGCTCTGCTGGGGTCCCACTCCTGCCTGGCTGGGAGCTGCAACTGGTGGCATGGAGCCAGTGTCCCCTGTCTCACGGTAAACACGCAGAGATATGTTTCTGGGATCACAAGTCACTTTTTCCCACAGAAACATCATTGCCTGGTACGTTCTGAGGCACCATTAGTACTGTTTCCAAGCACTTTACAAGTGAAGCAGGTTTCATGGGCAGGGCAGGGCAGGGCAGCCAGGCACCTGGGGTCCCGGTTTAGGCTGAGGCAACCCCACGAGCATCACAGTCAAGTCACTCACATGGATGGCTGCATTTCCCAGCGTGTGTGAAACTTGTTTACACCACACTGCCATCTATTAAGTGTGCAGTAACATGTCTAACAAAACAATGTGAATACCTTAGTTTAAAATGCTTTGTTGCTAACAAATTCTAACCATCAAAAAAGGAAAAAAGAGAATGCAAGCTTTAACGTCAACACATGGTGAGCAGGGTCAGTGGAAGTGGTGGCTCAGCCATTCCCGAGGCCTCGTCTCTGCCCCGTCACTGCAGGGCTCCGTGACTTGGGCAGATCATTAATCCACCTGCACCCCTTCTTTCCTCATAGGCACAATCAGAATTGTCCTTCCTTTTTGCAGATTTGGTATGCTAAGGATATTAAATAATGTATTAAAGCCTTAGCTAGCAAAGAACAGACATCAGCTAAATTTTAGTTTCCCTTCCTCCTTCTCTTAATAATTTGAATTTAAGTTTTACTGAGGAAAGGTAGAGGGGCGTACCCTAGAGACAGTGTGTATCACTGGAAATCTCAGAGCATGGGAGGGCAGGCAGGAGAAAGAAAAGAGCTTCTAGTTACTGCTTCCTAACCCCTCCTTCCACCATGGAATCCCCTCTTCCTGCCTTCTTTCAGAAATGTTACGATCTCCACACATATCCACTTTCTCCACCCAACACCTTCAGCCCACTTTGGACAAGCACACAGAAGCAGGCTTTGTCCTTTAAGCTGTTCCAGAAGCTGAAGTGATTTAGAACCAAGCTATTTGTATAGGACAGCGGGTAGCCGGGGCACCAGACAGAAGGAATCACTATCCAGGTCATGCCCATTTGCTAGTCAGCAAATCTTGTGGTTTCCAAGGTAATCAACTTGAATCCCATTAACAATCTGAGGATTTGTCAAGATAATAGGTCCAATCACCCCCTCCTCTCCTCGAAGTTCTGTTGTGACTAATTTGAAAATACTAAGCATTGCCCATGCCTTTAAATCCAGGCGTCAGGCAGTAAGAGATTAACACAATGCAAGAGATGACATCCAAAAATCTCTGTCACAACCCAGCACAAAATAACTGCTGACAGAGTTCTCCGACAGCTGACTGTGTGGAGCTGAGCCACAGCGATTAACTCTCATGTTTGCTCTCACAGACAACCTGGGTGTTACTGCCTGACTGCCTCTCAGAAGAGGTTTACTTGGATTAAATTTAGCAACCACAGAGCAGATTTCCTTTGCTCGCTGTCCCTCAGTATTTGGGCATTGTTTGTCCTCTTTTGGAGTAACTTTCTCACATTTGCTCCCCTGAGGAATGTTTGGAAGAAAGCCCTGGAGTGCCCCACGGCGGGCACAGGGTGTCCGCGCTAAAACAGCCCTCATGGACAGCCGGTGTCATTTCCAGCTCCAACTCACTTTGCCCCAAGCTTACAATAAGAATCACTCTTCCGGCTTGAGAAGAAGTGTCATTAGTTCCTTCCAAGAATCTTCCATGAGGAAAGCCGTATGCCATCATCTGCTAAGGAGATCGGTGGTGAACACCAGTTCAGAGGGGCAGGTTTGGCCTTAGCAGCAGCCACCCAGAGCCAGGGAACCCTCTGTGTGTGTGTGTGTGTGTGTGTGTGTGTGTGTGTGTGTGCGCGTGCGTGTGTGTGCGTGCGCGCACGCACATCTCCTGCAGGGACTAGCAGTAGATCCTCAGGGCTTTGCTGAGAGCTCTGTGTTTGGAGACCTAACAGGACTGTCATTGTTGAATTTTTTTTTTCTTTTGGCATCATGCTATTGTGACCTTTCAGTCTTATAACAGCCAAGGAGAAGTAAATCAAAGTAAATTCTAGGGATTATTTTACTATAAAAGCCTTTTGAAGACATGGAAAGTAGATTAGTGGTTGCCTAGGGCTGGATTTGTAGCGGAGAAGGAGAGTGATTGCTAATGGGTGTGGGGTTTGTTTTTAGGGTGATGAAAATGTTCTAAATTTGCATTGTGGTAGTGTTTGCACAATTCCCTGGATATGCTAAATAATCATTGAATTGTGCAACTTCAAATGGGTGGATTGTGGTGTGTGAAATATCTCACAAAGCTGTTAACAAGACTTCTGATGGAAAGCGATCAAATTTACAGCGCTGTGAGCCAATCAGGATTACTTGAACCAAAGTTACGTAAATCCTGGATTTTTCACTGCCAGTCACCCAGAACAAACTCTGTTAGGAGCCATCGCTCTCCTCTGAGAAATGTCTCTTTGCTAGAAGCAGTTTATCCCATAAAGGGGTGAATGTCATTTGGAGAAAGTCTTGTTGGGGCTACACTCTTTCCTCTCAATACGTTATGCTAGACCCTGGGCTCTGTCTTCTGTGACAGCCAGGATATGTTTATTCAAGGTGATAGGAAGAACCGGGACCCCAGGGGTGGCAAGCATTATTCATGCTTCACAGTGTGTCTTTTGTGAGTCAGTGCAGTGACTCAAGTTAAGCCGCTTCAGACTAAGCATGTGATTTCAGGACACTGATCATTACTTTCTCATCCGTTTTGGACAAATTGGATATATGACTTCGATACTAGTGGGGTTCTCTTCTCCTATTTTGTTTACTTTGGCAAATAGACAGCACCTTAGTCATTGCAAAACAATGGTACAGAAGGCATGTCAGAAAAAGAACAAATTTGCAGTTGCAAAAATATAAGATCTCAGTTAATTCACCTATTAAAAATTAGCAAAAGCTTTAACATGTGATGATACACAGTGTAATGCAGGTTTAGACAAAAAGAGCATTCCTGGTTTTTTGGCTTTTGAATACCATATGATTTTTAAAATGTATTTTATTTTTTAATTTTTCAGGTGTACAGCATAGTTGGTTACACACTCCCTGTGACTATTCTGTAACTACAAATCTGTGCTTCTTAATAATCCCTTCACCTCTTTTACCAATCCCCCAACCTCCTCCCCTCTGGAAATCACCAGTAGAGTCTCTGTGTCTATGAGTCTGTTTTAGTTTTTTGTTTGCTTATTTTGTTCAAAATGAGCATTCTTATACATTTTTAATGAAAGTGTTCATTAATAACCTTAAATAGGTTCATGATTTGTGTCCATAATCTCACTTCTCTTAATTTATCTCAAAGAAATCATCAGAGTGGCCCACAAACAATACTGATCCCTAGTACATCTTAAATGTTCAACATCTAGAGAAATAGCTAAATAATTCAACTACAACTAGACAATAAAATGTTATGCATAAAAATCACATTTTTGATTAGTGATGTTGAGCATCTTTTCATGTCTATGTCTTCTTTGGAGAAATATCTTTTCATGTCCCGTGCCCCTTTTTCAATTGACCATTTCTTTTTTTGTTATTGAATTGGACGAGTTTCTTACGTATTTTGGATATCGACCCCTTATTGGATATATCATTTGTGAATATATTCTTCCATTCAGTAGGCTGCTTTTTGTTTTATTGAAGGTTTCCTTCACTGTGCAGAAGCTTTTTAGTTTGATGCAATCCTGTTTATTTTTGCTTTTGTTTCCCTTGCCCAAGGGGACATATCCAAGGAGATATTACTCAGACTGATGTCAAATACTTTATTTTCTATGTTTCCTTCTAGTTTTATGGTTTCAGGCTTTACATTTAAGTCTTTAACCCATTTTAAGTTTATTTTTATATGTGGCATAATAGAGTAGTCCAGTTTCATTTTTTAAGGAGGCTGTCAATGCTCCAATGAATATTTGTACTTTATCATACATTATTTGACAGTACAAGTTAAGGTTTATTTCTGGCTCTCTATTCTGTTCCATTGATCTGTTTTTGTGCCAGTGCCATACTGTGTTGATTGTACCATACTGTGATTATTATAGCTTTGTATTATAGTTTGAGATTGGTATGTGTGTACATCCCACTTTGGTGTGTCTTTTTTTTTTTTCAAGATTGCTTTGGCTATTTTGGGGATCTTTTGTGGTTCCTTATATCCATGTTATATTCCTCCATTTATTTGCATCCTTTTCAATTTTATTCCTCAATGTCTTATAGTCTTCAGAGTATAGGTCTTTCACCTTCTTGGTTATGTTTATTCCTAGGTATTTTATTCTTTTTGATGCGGTTGTGAATGTTACTATTTTTTATTTCTCCTTCTGATTGTTCATTATTAGTGTATAGGAATATGACAAATTTCTATATATTAATTTCATATCCTGCTACTTTGCTGAATTTTTTAATTCTCTTAATTTTTTGGTGGACTCTTTAGGATGTTCTATATGTAGTATCATGTTATCTGCAAATAGTGACATATGAAAAAATGCTCAACATCACTAATCATCAGGGAAATGCATATAAAAACCATAGTGAGACACTATCTCACATCAGTCAGAATGGCTATTATCAAAATGTCAACAAATAACATACACTGACAAGGATGTGAAGAAAAGGGACCCCTTGTATACTGCTGGTGGAATACAAATTGGTGTAGCTCCTGACTACAAGATTGCCAGACTGTCACATGGTGACAGAAGCTCCAACTCTAGGAATCACACCCACATTCCCATATTTGAGACTCCTCAAAAAACTACAAATAGATATATCATATAACCCCACAATTTCACTTCTGGATATTTATCTGAAGAAAACAAAAACATTCACTCAAAAAGATATGTGTATCTTATGTTCACTGCAGCATTATTTAGCACAATCAAAATATGAAAGCAACCTAGGTGACCACTGATAAATAAATGGATAAAGAAGATGTGGCATACACACACATGTGTATTATACAATGGAATACTACATAGCAATAAAAAATGAAACCCTGCTATTTGCAACAACATGGATGGCTCTAAAGAGTATTATTCTAAGTGAAAAAAGTCAGAGAAAGGCAAATGCACTATGGTTTTACTTACATGTGGAATCTCAAAACATAGAAACAAACAAACAAAAAAACAAAACCAGACTTGTAGAAACAAAGACCAAAGGAATCATGATCAGAAGAAAGGGGGGAAGGGATAGGTGAAAATCGGAAGGGGAATATAGTGAAAATATTGTGATGAATTCACATGGTGACAGATAATTACCAGAATTAGTGGGGTGATCACACTGTAAGGTATAAAGATGTTCAATCACTGAAACTAATACAACCAATATAAGACTGTATACCAACTATACTTAAATTTTTAAAAATTTTTTGTAGACAACATTTTCAAAAATATTTAGTGATAGGAAAATACAGTGTAATGCTAAATTGTTTAGTGAAAAAATAACACTGGCCCTGGGGTATCCTGAGTGCTATAGGCCAAGGTCAGTCCCAACCTATGTTTTGCCAAGGGTCACCTTTCCTGAGCTATAAAGCAACCTGAGAAGGCTGTTACTTGTGCTGGCCTTGGAGATTCCCAGGTGAACCCAAGCTGTGAAACTAATTTGGCTGCTGCTGGTGCCTGGCCTGGAGCTCACTGAGGACAGCTGTTACTTATTTGATAGAATTTAGGAAGTTATGATATAAGAGCCAAGACCAGCCATTCACATGGAAAAGCAGCTTGGGTGGGCCTGTAAATTTGGTATGGTGGAGTCTCTGAGACAATCCAAATTGGGTCAAACAAGTGTTAGCCAGGTTGATGGAGTCTCAAATATGTCACAAGCCTGCTTGCTATGTGGCTCTATGGGGGGAGGGGTCAGAAAAGGGACAATGGCCTCTGCTTGCTCTGATGCCAGACACTTCAGCCTCTCCCAGTATGTCACTGGTGCCCTTCAAACTGCCATCCTGGCATTAGAGCTCAGAGGGAGTGAGTCTGAGTAGGTGAGCCCATGTGTGGGTTCTTTAAGAGGAACTGCATGTGGATCCTGCAGTTTCTTCCACCAACTCAATCTCTGCTGGTTTTTGCAGCCAGACATTGTGGTGACTTATCTTCCTGGCATTGTAACTGTGGGCTGAGGGGCCTGGTATGGGGCTGGGACTCCTCGCTCCCGAGATGTCCTTCTGGAATTTTTATCCACCACAGAGAGTCCAGCCTGTTCCACATCTGCACCCCTCCTACCAGTCTCGGTGGATATGGTTTCTTTAATTCTGTAGTTGGCAGAATTCCATTCAACTTGATTTCTGATGGTCCTGAGTGATGTTGTTCTGTATTTTAGTTGTAATTTTGATGTAGATGTGTGAAGAGGTGAGCCATGTTTACCTATACCACCATCTTGAACAGAAGCCGCTAATGATTTTAGTTCAAAGGCTTCTTTAGGAAAGGATTTTCTCTCACCTTTTAGAATTAGATGCACTGAGTTTTGACTATAAATGTTTAACATTCTAATTAGCAAATTCTATTTACAGAATTTGTAATCCTTGCACTGTAGAAGTGCTGCCAATGTGATACATGATTTGGGCCCTTTGAAGCACAGAGATGTACCACAGAAAATTTCTATAACTATAGAAATTTTGCCTTCAGCTACAAGTCACAGAATTTTTATTTTCAACTACTTCAAAAGTATGGGTTCTTTTTCTTAAAATTAATCTCCAAGAAAGTTGTTGCTGGCATGATGGTTCTACAACTCAAAACATCAGAACCAGTCTTTGAGTGATTCTTTTTTCCTCCTCGCCTACAAGATTGCCTTTGAAGCTCCAACTCCAGGAACCACTTCCACATTCCAGCCAAGGTCAAGGGAAAGCGGTGGGGTGGGGGGGGGGGGCAGGCTGCACCATTCCAAATAAAAGTTTCCTAAGATGCATCCTCTCTCCAACCAGAAAAACCAGAAAACTTTCCCTCATTCCTCATGGGCCAGAGTTCAGTGCTGGAGGCCTGGGGAAAAGAGTGTTTGGGTCCAAGCCTCCACAGTGGGAAGTGATAGTGGAGACTCTAATGGGCATGACCGCTAGGTGGTCAGTCAGCAGGCCACTGAGAGTACAAGGTGTTGACATGAGTTCACTGTTAAGGTCTGGGAATTATATATAGTAGCTGTATCTAATGTGATGAAAATATTTTTTAAGTCTCTGGACTGTCTGCCAAATTCTGTCTAAGGAAAAGATACATTAAATACATTGTAATCTTAGGACTCAATCATTAATTGACAGAAGCTTCCAAAATGTACCCTGTTGTTCCCTGGAGTCAGTGCAGCAGCGCCCCCTCCCTAGCAGGGCTCCTCCTCCTCCCTCCCATTCTTCCCACCGACTGACCGAGATGTGCACCAGGATAGTTACTGTCACCCAAACCCTCTCTCTGGCATTGTCCTTCCTACCCTTCCTGAGGAAGGAAACCAGATAAACTCACAGACTCAAAGGAAAAAGGGTTTGCTTTCCCCACAAGGGCATCTGCTGCAAGTACAAGTCAGTGTCAATGCCAAAAGCAGCAGTTTGAAAAATGTCTTCATCTGTCCTATAGTCAGGAGAGCATTAGAATTTTTCCTGCCTATTATTGGGCTCAATATCACAATCAGTTAATTAAATTGCCTCACATTACTTTGCGCCTTTCAAGACAAAAATACTAATCAGTTACATAAAATTATTTGGACCTTTTAAAATATCCAAATCACACTGAATATGACTTTCTCAACAGGTCCTGCCTAGACTCTTAACTCTGAAATATTCACTTTGTTTTGAATATTATAATATCACTAGACAGGGTGCTCTTATTTGAAGTAATGTGCTGGCCTGGTTCATTCAGATTGCCTCTTCTGGGGCCATGATTTGATGCAGTGAACTGAATGAGACTAGACACACTAGTAGCAGCAGCAGTGAGGTCGTAATGTACATGTTACATTGAAATGTTAACAAAACAGCACTTGGCTCACTTGAAATTGTTTATTCATAATATTCACAATTTCAAATTCTTTAATTGCAGAAGTGGAAAAGTCAAAACATGTTAGCTAGTCAGCTACAAAATACCAAAGAAACTATTGCCAGTGAGCACCATTAAAATGGATGAGTTGGCAGGAAGTGCACCGTTCTCCACTGCCCTCCCTCCCTTCCTCAGGCAGCACAGTGACACCTGTGGGGGGCATTTGAGTCCTTAAGACAAACTGTCTCCATGACTGTGTTTTCAGAGTTCCAAGCTGAAAGGTTACCAGAAAAGAGACGTGAAGCTGGGAGGCCTTGGACCTGACCTTGAGTCCATCAGAGACAAAGTGAGTGGGGTGTGCACCCAGTGTTTTCAGGCATGGATTGGCCCATCTTTTAGCAAAGATGTATAAGATGCCCCCAGAACCAAGTTCTAATTCAAATGTCTCTGAATGGAGACACTTCTGAAATATCACTGGTAACAGTTAGAGACCCAGGCATTCTTTGACTGAAAAATGAAATTACTTAGCCAGTATTGTGTTGCACACCCACTTTCAGTGTCGAAGGCCCGCGCACGGGGGAGTGGGGCCTGCACACATGAAAGGAGAGGGTGGGCTGTGGGCTCATAGGTCTTTCCCAGCAGAGTCATCGTGGTAATTTTGAGCAGCAGCTACAGAGAGGACACTCAGGGTAAGGGTTTCCTGACCCACGAAAAATGCATCCACTTTATTCTCTGTCCTCGAGGGAAAGCAGATCTCCGTTTAATGTGTTTTAACTGCAGTTGCACTCAAGGCATAGAAAGAGAGTCTAGTTCAAAGTTAGACGCAGAAATGAAAATAAATTGGGTAAATGCAACAAAGAAGAGGCTGGATGTGATTTAGCCGATGTTAAGGGAACACTGGGTGGGCTGCTGTGCAGATGTTCTGCCTCAGAGAGACTGCTTCCCAGAGAAACATCGCTTAACTGCTTCCCTGCTGTCTCCCCGGTGCTGCTGCCAGTGGGCCTGGCTCGCTGCAGGCAGTGCCGCTTTAAATAGAGAGCCCAGTGATCCAGCAGGACCAGTAACTGTGCTTCTCTGAACAGATGCAGAAATTAATACACCAAAAGGAATATGCAAAACAGGTTAAGGAGTACAACATGAAGGCACTATCCATTCTGTCAAAACCACACACAACAAAAACAGAAAATAAATCGGTCCTCTCTCGGCAGAAGGTAAGAAATTCTCACAAATGCAGTTACCTTCTCAATTAGAATTAAAAAGAAACCTTTATTACCTCACGAGGTCATGAATTCCTTCCCAGTTTGTGAACACACGGGTGTTTTAACTACCATTCATCACTGACAGACACGGATGTAAAAACGGCACACATACCTACGACGCCGTGACAGGGTCAGCCTTTGACTTCTCCTGAAGTTTATTATTATCTTTATTCATCCACAGGTTTTCTTCTAAGTGTAGTAGTCCCAGTTTGTCACACATAACAATCAAATAGGTGACTTGCTAGTGAATTGGGATTGATAGTTTCCCCTATTGATTTCATTTTCTACCACTGAGTGAGTAAGGCTTGAAAGGAAGTTAGTGCTTTCGTGCTGTTTATGTGGCTATGTCAAACAAAAGTCTTTGTTGTTCCTCTCAAACTTATTCTCCCATGTTTTTCCTAAGGGGTCATCATATACAGCTTCCTCTGTCCAAGAAAAATGATTTCATAGACACAGAATGCTCTCTCTCAGTCAGAGTCATCCAACTACAAGTCTTGACATGCAGGAAGTATGTTCTGTGGAGACACGGAGCTTTGCAGAGCAGGTCTCTGTCTCCGTCCCAATGAGGACGACAAAGGACCCTTGGTGCCTTTAGGAATTTGTACTTTATGTTCTCATTCACAGACCATCTTATTTACTTATTTATTTATTTACTTACTTACTTCTGTGAAATAGGGAGGGAAAGAAGGAGAAAAACATCAATGTGTGGTTGCGTCTCACATGCCCCCGAATAGGGACCTACCCTGCAACCCAGGCATGTGCCGTGACCAGGAATCAAACTGGCGACCTTTTGGTTCGCAGGCCAATGCTCAAACCACAGAGCCACACCAGCCAGGGCCAGACCAGCATATTTTTTATTTATTGCCTTTTGTCTTCAGACCTTGAAAACCTCAATCCACTTGAGTTTTTATGGTGCCACTTTTTTTTTTCCTCCAATTCATTATTTTTTCATGAAGAGATTCAAGGCAACAAATCTGTAATTAGAAATTCATACAAAGTCACCTACACAAAACTGAGAAGGCTGGAGTTTTTCTGTTTTGAGGGTATTTTTTTCCCTGTAGGACCTACCATCCACTCCTATTTTAGCCATCAAGAGACTCTTTTCAAAATATAAAACTGATATAAAAGCAGATTTAGAAATCTTATTTAGTCATTTTATTTTTATTGTAATGCCTTTCAAAATCGACATCAGTCAGAAAAAAAGAATACTGCCTTTTCCAGTATCCAAGTCTATATAGGTATACTAAAAAAAGAAGAAAGAATCATTTATAATTTCTAAGAAAGACTTATTAGATTTCTAAGTGCCTGAGAACAAGAGAAGTTGGTGTAATAATGGAGGTGCAGTTTTATATCAGCTACACTGATGTCTTTGGCCTAAAGTGATAACAAGTCCTCTTTGGATAGAAAGGCCTGTTAATGTTGCCTTATGATAAATTTGGTTTTAATAAGATCAAACACAAGAAAATTCTACTTTCAAACACTCAATTAAAATTCTGTTTTATAAAGAAAACATTGAAAGCTACAACTGTATGTCCCCTTTTCAACCCTTTTTCACAGCAAATCCTTATGTGGCGAATTTATTTTGTTTAAACCTGTAAGTTATACCACATTATTTGCATTTTCTGTTTGGTTTCCATTTCCATCCATGTCTTTGTACACTATTGTATCAGTAGTCTTCGCTTATATTATCAATAAGCATTTCCTAAGTCTAGACTGCATTTAAGGAATCCAGGGCTCACTTCCTATTTCAAATACAATTTTCTTTATGTCTTCAGGCTTTGGAATATGCTAAGACCATCCCAAAACCCAAACCTTCAAATCTGACTGACCACATGTCAAAGGATAAGAAAGATGTAGCCTATGCAGGAAAAGAAGACACTTTGCCTGAAATTTCCCTGCTGGAAATACTGCAGAGCAGACACGAAAGGGAGAAAAAAGCTGTGGCTGCTTTCAAAGTCCTTCAAATTGTCTAGGCCCATGTGCAGGGGACCAAAAACGCCCTGAGAATGGACACGCAGTGAAGAAAATCCAACTAGCCTCTCTGCATTGAGAGTGGCGAGCTGTTATCAAAATCAAACTGTAGTCCCTCTTTGCTTTGAGTGTGATTTAAAATATGGAGCCCTGTTACATTACGGTGCCATATTTTACCTTCTAGGAAGAAAAATTTAAATTATTTATTTTCAAATCAGTTAGAGTTTGGGGCTAGGGAGTAAGAGCTAGGGAATAAAGCCTTTTGGTTTTATATTGGATCTTTTGATTTCTTAAACAATGTCTACCCTTCCTTAGCATAATGAAAACTTGGAAATTATCCAGAAATAAGATTATCAACTTGTGTTTCTCCCTTTTACATTCCTGACAATAAAAATGTATAAATACTTCAGTTTCTGCTAAAACAAACTCAAATTGGACTAATCACCAGCATATTTTGAGATACTATTTCCAAAATATTTCTAAAGTCTTTAAATTTAGCAAAGATTTTTCCTATAAAATTAGAAGAAATGAAGATACATCTGGAGGCGCCTACTCTGGCAGGACAAATCTGAGTGTTCCAACAAAGCATCAAGACGCTAAAGAGAAACCCTCCGAGGCCAGGAGCACCGACTCAGGCAGCTCAGAGAGCCACACTTCGTCAGGGCGACCTGTTCCAGACTTCGAGTTGAGATGGCAGCACAGGTAAACACAGTCCTTGCCTCGTCCCATGGCCACATCAGAATTACAACTAAGCCACAGAGAAAGTGTCCTTCAGAACCATTTGAAATCTGGCTGAATGTAAGCCCTAAAACTAGAATTTAAAGAAGCAGCCACATTGAGACTGGTAGGAGGTGTGGAGACACTCACACATAGTGGATAAAATCGGACGGATATCTTGGCTGTGGAGATGACCCCTGAGGAGCCAGGCCTCCTAGCCTAGGCTTTCAGCGCCAGGAAGAAAGTCCCCATAACTTATGACTGTAAAAATCAGCCGATTGTGGCTTAGTGAGAAGGAGAGCTTCTGGGGTCCCAGATGATCCTCTTAAAGGGCCTGTGCCTGGATTTACTCGGACTCACTCCCTTTGAGCTCCAGCACTGGGGCAGCAGCTCGAAAGGCACCAGGGACACACAGGGAAGAACTGATTTTCTGGTGTCAGGGTGAGAATTGGGGAGACAGCTTTTTCCCTGACAAAAGTGTGGGTAGGTGGGCACCACATCTGAGTATCAATCTGGCTTGCACTGTTTGCCCCACTGGGGTGATTCCCTGAGACTCCTGCCTCACCTGACTTTCTAGCCCATCAAGCTGTTTCCAGTGGCTTTTTCATACAACTAGCCTCTCTTGCCTTATGCTTCAGACTTTCCAAAACAAACAAACAAACAAACACAGCTCTCAAGAAAGCAACATCTGGCCTCAGTATGCCCCAAACGTCTTGCTAAGTGGCCCCAGGCCCAGCACTAACAGCAGCAAGATTTGGTTTGTGGCTTGACCTCACCTGGGCATCTTCAAGCCCAGTGCAAGTAGCAGCCATCTGCAGATCACCTGGTAGCTCATGCTGGTGGCCCCAGGCAGGGCACAGGCAATGGCTGACCTTATATCTCCCAGGAGGCCCCAGAGCCAGTGCAGTCAATGGATGGCTTCAGACCTTGCTGGATCTCAACCTTACCACCTCCACAAGCGACACACTCAAGGGCCAGACTCAGTGAGCACTTGAGCCCCACTGAAGCAAGTCCTACACTGTAGGGTCCACTCCTGCACAGCAGCTCCTTCATATAGTCGCAGCTGGTCCTCACAGCCGATCAGCCTGGGTCAGTCCCTCCCAGTAACACCAACAGCAATCAAGACTCAACTACAACAGGACAGAGTATACAGCCCAAACAGGGGTGCACCCGGAGCACCCAGCTAGGGTGACTATAGAGGCTGTGCCACTGCACCCACAGGACACCTACTGCATAAGTTGCACCAGAAAATCCAGGAGATACAGCAGCTGTACCTAACACACAGAAACAGATACAGGGAAGTGGGCAAAATGCAGAGATGAGGAAACAGGTCCCAGATGAAATAACAGGAGAAATCTCCAGAAAAAGAACTAAATGAAATGGAGGCAAGTAAACTACCAGATACAGAGTTCAAAACAATGGTTATTAGGATGCTCAAGGAATTTAGTGAGAACTTCAGGGAAATTAGTGAAAACTTCAACAACATGAAAAAGGGCATAGAAACCATAAAAAGAACCAGTCAGAAATGAAGGATACATTAATTGAAATTAAGAATAGTTTATAGGGTATCAATAGTAAAGTAGATGAAGCCGAGAATCAAAGAAAACACCCAATCAGAACAGACTACATGTATAAAATATATACTTATATATACATATTTATACATTAATATGTATATATGAATACATTATATAGTCATATTAATATATAATAACTTTTCATTATATATGTGTGTGTGTGTGTGTACTCCAAAAGAGCCTCTAGGACAACTTTAATCATATCAACAGTTGTATCATTGGGGTTCTGGAAGGGGAAAAGAAGAGAATGAGCAAAAAATTGAAAACTCATGTGAAAAAATAGTAACAGAAAACTTCCCTAACCTGGTGAAGGAAATAGATACACAAGTCCAGAAAACACAGAGAGTCCCAAACAAAATGAGTCCAAAGAGGTCCACACCGAGACACATCATAATTTAAATGCAAAAACTTAAAGACAAAGAGAGAATCTTAAAAGCAGCAAGAGAAAAGCAGTTACCTACATGGGAGCTCCCATAAACTGTCAGCTGACTTCTCAACAGAAACTGTGCAGGCCCCAAGGGATTGTCAAGAAATATTTAAAGTGATGAAAAGTAAGAACCAAGAGTAACTGAGATTACTCTACACAACAAGGATATCATTTAGAATAAAGGGTTAGGTAAAGAGCTTCTCAGACAAGAAAAAACTGAAGGAGTTCATCATCACTAAACCAGTACACATGAAATGTTAAAAGGTCTTCTTTAACAAGGAGAAAAAAGATAAAAAATATGAACAATAAAATGGCAATGAATACATATCTATCAACAATTAATCTAAAAAGCAAAATAAACAAACAAGCAGAGCAGAAACAGACTAAAAGATACAGAGAATGTTTTGTCAGTTGCCAGATGGAAGGGGTTTCGGGGGATGGGTGAAAAAGGTGAAGGGACTGAGAAGTACAAATTTGTTGAAATTGGTTACAAAATAGTCATGGGGATGTAAAGTACAACATAAGGGATACAGTCAATGATATTACAATAACTATACAGTGTCAAATGGGTATGAGATTTGTCAAGGTGATCACTTAGTAAATCATTTAATGTCTAATCCCTGGGGAGTACACCTGAAACCAATATAATATTGTATATCAACTATAGTTGAAAAATTAAAAATAATTTTAAAAAAGTTACTCCAAGTATATAAATTTGTTGGGCATCTTGCCATCACAAATATCTTAAAATATTATCAAATATGTACTTTTACACAAAGAAATAATATTAGGTAACACAAAATCATTCCATAGTTTACTATGGATGTCAGTATTAATAATTATTTCTACTTTTTACAATATTTTGAAGTTGAATGAACATTATAAAATTCCCAGGTCTCAAAATGAACCTAGATGATTTCATGTTTTACTTGCCTGTGTTAGATGGGCATCACATCGTTAGATGCCATATCCAGAAATGGACAGTTTTAATAATGATTGAAGACAGATCTGTTTTTCTACAGAGGCGGCATAAGGACTAACTTTGGAGATCTACTTCTATGTGGTATGCATTTTACATAAGCCATGATGAGGCATAAAAGCTGCCCATACTTAATTTTCTCTTAAAACTGGAAGCAATTAGAATCACAAGTCTGGGAAGATAACAAATACCTTATGATAAAGAGTAAACTGACAAATTATGTTTCTGTGGTGTTTGGAAAATCATATCATACATGAGGGGCAAGTTTAGAAAAATCACAGCTTGGACGGCTCCTAAAATATATTTGTAAAAGAAGAGGAAGCATCAGCATATATGGTCAAGACTTTTCTAAGAAACATGACATGAAATGATTTTTAATGGCTTCAAATTTAAACTTACTCTGGAAGATAAAATAGTGCTCAGAGACACTTCCATGTTTTTATATTAAAGGGACAGTGTAAATCTTTATAAATATTTCACTTCCACTAGAATATCTTAAAATAATTAAGAGCTTGGAATAGGCTTCTCTTGTTCAACCACCAGTTCTTCAGGAGAGGAAACACCAATTGGAAGGAGGCAGTCCTGCTGAGCAGCCAGGTCTGAATCCGGCCTTTCCACACCTAGGACAGCCCTGCTGGGTATTTCTGTATGGGGAGAAGTAGTTCTTGTTTTACTGGGTGGGCAGGAGCATGTAGTTGATACGGATTTCAGTTTTAGACTTGAACTTCCATAATGCAGTTCCATATTCTGAAATATGCATTCCTGTGTACCTTATCAAACTTTTAACATGTACAACCCAGCAACTTCATTACTACACTGATAAAGCTGTAGGAGATGTGTATAAAGCAACTCAGAGGTTAACCAATAAAGGGGATGCTATTTCTTCTCTTTCCAGAACATTTAAAAATCACCCCACAACCATTTCTCTGTTAGCCTAAGCATTGTAACTCCTTCAGGTATTTTCACACATACTATCAAGAATACACAGTCAGTTAACGCTGGTTAAAAAATTCAGTCAATTGTCATACAACATTTCACAGGGTCTTTCTTCCCAAGGCAAGTCTCTGTCATTGGGCCTATAGGACTATAGGACATCAAAATTCTCTGTATGGAAATATTTAGAGTGACAAACAGCACCTAAAATGACTTTGGCTAAAGAAATAGGACCTATTTGTTGAACACTTGGGTTTCAAATGAAAAACTGGATCACAACAGGCCTTCCTCTGGCCCCAAGGGACCTCGCAAGACCCAGCAGACTATCACTAAGCTACTATGACACCAAGACAGGGAAGAGACTGCAAA